CTGGAGCCAAGCCCACAGAATAATTTATATAATTGGAGTCAAAAGCACATTAAAGAATTATGAGAATGATTTTTCTTTTGTAAAATGCAAACGGACCCATTTACTTAATGCTTATCTAGTATACAACAGGAACTTGATAAATTTATTCTTTTTGTCCATTTTATTTGACCTTTGGTCTAAGACCAAGTACTGTAGTAGATACTATCCCAAAGGGGTGCTCCTGGGGTATTTCAAGACATGGTTGCATCATTTGAGAAAGTAGAGATCCAAGGTGAATACTGTGAAGAAGACAATCCTCTAGGACCTTAGCAGTGTTTGTATAATTATTTAAAATATGCTTCATTTCATAGCCTCACCCCGCATAAGCTTGTATACAATGTTAAGCCCCTGGAATATTGTCTATTAAAGCTGGAAGCCCAAGAGTTAAAACTGATTATTCCAAGAGCCTGTAAATTCTACCATAAGCTAGTCACAGCGCAGTGCAGATAGGGAAAAAGAGGTGATTATACATTTAAGAGTTGTAGTATTTTCTAAATATTGGTTTAAGGTGCCGTAGTGACTACAATCCTGAAATAAGGAGATTTTAAAAAAAATATTGCACAGAATGATTCTTTTTGTTTGCTTTCACTTAGGAACAGAAATTTTTCAATGCTCAATCTTACAAATTCTCATTTCTCCACAGTATGGCAAACATTAACTCACTTTAAAAAAAAAAAAGCTATTTGCCTTATTCTTATTCTCTTTCATTTTATAGCTCTAACTTTTCTCCTGAGAATAAGAAAACATTTCTTAATATATCTAGGTTACTGAAATAATTATGAACACCAATGACCCTGGATTCTCAATCACTTGATCAGATAAGTTGAGAGTGAAAATAAAGTGTACCCTTTTCCAGCAAAGGCCGGTATTGAGTACTGGGAATTTAGTACTAAGAATGGGATCCCCATTTACATTTTGTGATTCTGAAGGTTTAATGTAGACCTACCAATGTATAACTGAGCAGCACAAATGTTTGTTCCTTGTTTTCAGGAGATGGGGTATGATCTCAGTGACAAATTTATAAGCTTTGCACATTAGGGTGATTTCTACCACTGCTTCCATAATACTTATCAGCAAATAGCACTCTAAGTTAGAGCTGCTATAAGAATAAAGGATTAAAAGACCCAGGCAAAACATTTTCACATAATGTAAGCTAACATTTAAAGATAAAAAGAAGTATCTTATGAAAGGAGAAAAGTAAGTATTTTCCTGAGGCTAAAAACAATTTAACTGAACTGGTCCAAGTAAGCCACTTCTTCAGACTTAATTCTAGGACATTTCAGCTGACATGTATCCCGGTATGATTTTTATTACACAATAAACTGAAAGAATGGGGCTTCCTTAGTTCTTTGCCAAGATATTTAAAAACCAATAATGTTTATGACTAAAAGTTGAAAACTCAGGCTCATTTAAAAAAGTATCATAGACTCTTCCCAACTTTTATCAACTTTATCATTACTTCTCATCAGACTTCTGAGACGATCCCAATCCCAGCCTTTATTTCCAGATATTTCCTTCAAAAGAAACTTGCCATATAACAAAAATTTCAAATTGTTATAATAGCTAATTTGTCTCCAGTCTAAAAAAGTACTGACGATTTCTGAGACAAATACAAGAAAAACAGAAGAAGACACTTTCTAGTAAGGATTTGGCAATTTCAGGGTAGGGAGTGGGAAGGGAGAAGAAAGTTAGCCACTACAATACCCATCAACTGCTTTAGTTTTCAAAGCACTAACAGATTATCCCTTTTGAGATCCTGACAAAAGAACTGACAACAGAAAATGTATCTGGCCTCACAGAAAGGGAACGATCTACAATTATATAAAGGACATAATAACTACATAAAAAAAAGGAAATACTCTATACTTTGCCCTGAGAACTCAACAGATGTAAGCCTTGGAAAGAAAGAAGATTCCAAAGCCAAGAGCCCTTAAAGAATCATTCCCTCCCCTAAACTTAGGGGCAAACAACACTGACATCCTAGCTAATCACCTCCCTGCAGAGCTTGGCAGATTTATCATTTGAGAACTAACTAGAGCTTCAACCACAGAAATTAAAAGCGACAGATTCAACACATATTTCTTTCACACCTACATCCTTCTACCACCTGGCTAACAGCTCTCCCCCGCCTCCCCCCAACACACACACACACACACACACACACACACACACACACACACACACACACTCTCTCTCTCTCTCTCTCTCTCACTCTCTCTCTCTCTGACAGATATGAGTTAATACAGACTCTCCATCTCCATATATTTATTCTCTAGTTCAAGACTCCTCTTTTTTCTTTCGTATGTACTATTCTACTTTTCTAAGGATTCCCAAGTACTAGTTAATTCTGAAAGAAAAAGCATTATAACCTAGATTGATTTTTAAAACCAAAGTACATATGACCCTGTCATTGACTCTTCCCGCCCCTGACATTCAGAGTGCATTAGACTATCTCCCTGGCACTGTATGAGCCATGGAAATAGTCTAAGTGCATGTCAAAGAACCCTAATGCTGACACTAGATCAAATTAACCTGCGATCACTAAGAGAATTACTGTACTATATCTGAAACAATGAATGCACTTTACAAATTAATTGGGACACTGCTTTCACCCAGTCTCCATAAAAGCAATTCCTTATTCCTGGAGTGCATTTCATTCTGGCACTTATCAGTACCACCAACCCCACCCACAGGGCCCTCCTTATCCGCCCAGGCTCAGTGTTACTTTCCCTCCTGGACCACTCTTCCCTTTCCTCTTCTCTACTAGGCCCTACTTTCATCTGTTCTCTGAATGAATTAAGGATCATAACAAAATTCCTTTCGAGGGAACTTTATAGATAGCAATTTAATAATTTTTATAAAGAAAACACTACATTTGTCTCAAGATGTAAGTGTACCTGTTAGAAACTTTTAGGCACCTCTAATCTCCGTGGTTTAACTCACTTTTCAGGAGAACTACCCATTTCTCTGAATAGCAAAACTGTCATAGAAAGTGGTTTAAGTCCCCACCAACCACCTAAGCCTGAACGTTGATGGAAACTGGTGTGGGAAGGTGTAACGTTGGCCTGCTCGGTCTGAAGCTACTTCTTAGGCCTAGATCAGACCCAAGTGCCTTTCTTCCTCTACCCACAGGCCCAGGGAAACAGCTGTTTCCTTCTGGCACTGCTGCCTCCACCCACTGGGCTCCTTGGCGAGTTCTTCTCCTCTATTCTTACTACCAAGTGGAAGGCAAGCTCTTCAACTTCCCCTTCCTCACTGCCCCCCCCACCCCTGCCCTCCCCGACAACGACACTGGTCAGGGCCTTTTATGGTCTAAAGGGCTTTACTACCAACCATTATAAAGAGCATAAGATGTAAATCCTTGGGGAAGTTACAGAGTTTCCACAGAAGTTTTATACCTGTGGTCCTTGGATCTGTAGTTTCTATTCTCTATCAGCTAGCTACCAACTGGTTTAAAAATCTCCTCCTTTAAGTGTAATCTAGGTAGTTGATGCTAGAGTTTCAAAACTTGAGAGCCAGTAAATTAAAAAACAAAAAAACAAAAAAACAAAAATAAACAAAAAAAACGAAAGAAAAAAGGCAAAAAATGCAAAAAAGAGGGTAACTGACATAAGGTTTTTTTTTCCTCCTAGTAAAAGACAATAAAAACAAGCAAAAACTCACCATCTTCCAATACCACAAATGAAATAAGATTTTTATTACACAAAAATAATCCATCCCTTAAGCTACAATAAATTTACCTAAAAAAAAAAAAAATCTCTAAAATCCTGGGCAATTATGTTTACTTGTTCTGACTAATGAATGATATATTTGCCTGACTAAAGCTACTACAAAAATCCAAAGCTCGGCTTTCAGATGAGTTGAGATTTGTTTCTGGAAAGATTCACTGTTGTGTGCCGTGGATCTCTTCCTATAAGCTAACCGGTGTCAAGTGTATCAATGTGCTTTTTTGGTGGGGAGGGGAATTCACTGGTGCTCATGAGTGGCTTAAGGAGACCCATTCTATGAATTATTGATTATGGTGCAAAAAAAAAAAAAAAAAGGTAATAAAGTTTGATTTTTAAAAACAAACAAACAAACAAAATCTCATTATCCCGGGGAATTTTTCTTATTTTGCTACAGAGAAAAAATAAAAACAAATTGCATCAAGGGGACGTTGGCACTTGGGAATCATGATTTAACCTGTTGCCAGCCACATTCAGTCGCAGTGAGAAGATAAAATTACCTCTTGCCTCAACTCTACAGTTTTTAAAATATTCACTCCACAGCAATCTCTCCTTCCAAAATACATAGAGCAAATATTATGTCCAGAAAATAGAAGGCTGGAGTTTGAACCTGAAATCCTCTGAGACTAGTGACCCCACATTACTGATTAAATACTAAACGAGAGAAAGGCTTTCTCATTTAGTCCCTAAACACCACTTCTAGTTGTGTGAAAATAAAGTAGCATTAGTTCAATACTGTCAAGAAATGACAAATTGGGTCAAAATTTAAAAATCTTTATTATGTAGTTTGAAATGTTCCAAAAACCCAAAATATATCTGGACTTACTTGGCCTTAATAAATAACAGCTGGGCAATAGGACTCATTCTTTGTTAAAACTAGGCCAAGAAAGAGGCAGAAAATCTTAAATTATGTACGTTCCCCAAAATCTGTTTCCAAAAGCTAAACCTATTTAAGACTGAAATTTATAAAGCTAAAACCTTCCACAGTTAAAATGTAAATAATGGCTCAAATGCTTTTCTTTTAAGAAAGCCCCTTAGCAAACTCTCCTATGGTCCCTAAACCTTCGACAGAACTTAATCCAAATATAAATGTAGGTCATTTCTTCCCCTTACAGTGCAGGAGTATTTTATAAAAGCCATTACTTGAAAGCAGGGGGGAAATCTAAGCAATGCATTTACATGGGTAATTACGACGTTGTATTATAAACTTTTAATAAACAAAAGCATTTTACTTACGATGTTCCCTGCTGTGAATCAGGGTGGGTTTTTGAAGACGTATCATACTGTTCTGTGGGGGAGGGAAAAATGATTAGAGCAGTACAATGACATATATTCATGAGACTGTTAGGTATAAATTCCGTTTTTTGTTGTCCCTAAACACTGTTTTCACCTAAACACTTAGTACATTTAAATTCTGTCAACCAGAGTGCTGCTATACGCCATATTTAGTATTTAGTATAATCGCACAATAACATCTATGTTACTTCTAGAGAGAAGATTTGCTCAGAATTAAAAACTCTTAACAGCAAAAACACTGAAGAGCACTGCTTGCAGCAGCCCTTGCCATACTGCTGGTCACCTT